TTTGTTTGTGTGTAAGATGAAATTTTATTTCATCGAGTGGGCTTTAAAAACAGTATTCTCACGAGTGGCGTAGCCACGAGTGAGAATACTGTTTTTAAAGTTCACGAAATGAAATAAAATTACATCTTACACAACAAACAAACAAATTTTCTTTTTATTTTATGCTAAAAAACAAGTTAAAACGAAATTTCTATAATATTAACGTAAATATTAAAATCTGTTTTCCCCATTGAGAGCCCCATTTAGTCGGAATTTCTCATTAAAAATAAGAATTCTTGAGCTGAAAAATAAGTCCGACAATCAACGTTAAATGACAGTGATATTATTAATTTTGTTCAAAAAATATGAATGATAGCTTGTTTTAATAATAAAAACAAACAATTCTTGTAGGAGAAAATTCCAACCATCCATCCATATTTCTGTTACTGCGAATTTATATTAGACCTGGCTTTGTTAAATGTAAGCGGTAGCCATTTTTTAAAGTTGTGTATTTCACGGGAGGAAAATAATTGTGTTTGATTCACTTCAGAGGGCTATCATTTGGATTTATTAGTCATACACCTTTTAAAAAGAAAGAAAACATATTTGAGGATTGAAACAGACATAAAATAAGTGTTAACAGATGTGAAAACATGAGAAAAGCAGCTATGAAAATGGAAAACTTGGAACTTGCTCGGAACGCTGGGTGGTTTACTTGTTCTACGAGCTGATAGCTGTCTATGCTTTTCAATTTTTCATAAACATACGGCAGTTATTGCTCGTAGGATACTTTGATATGCCCAAATGTCATCAAGAGCAGTTTGCATGTGGAAGGAATGTATTTTTCAGACTGTAAAAATGAAACAAAAAAATTAGAGACGAAATTTGGTGATTGAAATTTGAATGAATAGAAGTAAGTTTTCTTTTTAGATCTATTACTTTTGACATTTAAGTTATTTATCAATTTCAGCTTTGCGTTTTCTTTAAACAGCCTGACATTGTCAGAATTGTTAGCAAAAATGAAATTGAGATACCACATGGGAAAAATCTTAAAAAAGTAGTTTCGTCATTGAAAAGTGTGAAATTATATTTTGATAATTTTCACTGTGAAATTATCAAATATAATTTTCACGGATAAATCAGTAATCCACTGAAAAGCATAAAATAAATCTTAATAATTTCTATGTCATTTCATAAATGAAATATCATGAAGCACATCAAAATAACAAAATACTAGTACTAGATAAAGACAACAAAATATCTTCAAATGATGGGTTTTATTATATAAACATTAACTGAACTACGAATGAATTTTTAACTTCAAAGTTTTGTAAATCTGCCGCTGATCATGATTCTTCATGAAATGTTTTCATGATATACTAATCAACGCGATACTCATTTGTATAGAAGTGTCCACAATAGCACTTAATATTTGTATTAGTCAAAGGTAGACAGACAATCTTTCAAAATGTGTATTTATTACGATTGTTGTTGTAAATATTTATACTTTTGATATTTCAGCATTGAAATCAAATTAGATAAACTTCATGCATCTGAATTGCATTAAAATAGCTTGTGAGGGGTGTTTATTTTTAGGGGAAAAGCGGAACACGACACACCGTTAACATAGTGTTTTAATATTTTTTCTGGTACTTCAGAATCATTCTAGTCTCAAAAATTGGTTTAGCAAGCTCTACTAGATGTGAGAGAAGTTGTTTTCCATTTACACCATGATTAGGCTTGATAATAACGGGTGTATGATTTTTTATTAAATATTAACTGATCTCCAATTGCTATTGATCTGTCATTGCTTCAATATTTTGTACTTGATACAAAACAAATTGCACATTTACGACATTCAGTATATATTATTACTAGAAGCATTTCAATTGATCAAATCAATGTACATTCGATTAACCTTTAAAGCAAATACAATTTATTTTTAGTTGCTGTAATTACAGAACATGAGTTCAATAGCGAGGTCAATACAATATTAATCTTTTCATTAGTAAATTTATAAATATCTTAATCCGGTTACGTATTAAAATGTATTAAACTTCTGCACATAAAAACGGATATAGCTGCATATACAGAAAAGGCAAGATTATGAAAAGTAATTGGCTCTCAATGTAATATAAGTTTATAACTTGTGTTTAATTGTTATTATTGTTTTTCTTTATGCAATGAATGAATAATATTAAACGAATAATTTATTTATAGTGCAATGACCGGTACATGTCTAACAACTGGTGCATTTAAAAGCTGCATGCCTGTAGATTAGTCAAAGTTTTTCAAGAAAATCAAATTTGAGAACATTGTACTAATTGTTTTTGAGAAAATAAAAAAATTCGAGATTCAAGTAATAATTATATGTTATGTGCAATTAATGACTGATTTTGTAGTATTTTTCACCATATTATTTATCATCATTTTTACTGTGTAACTAATGCAGTAAGGGCTATTATTTCATATTTTACATTTTTTGCTATTTCACAGTACGTGGATTGTAAGCGCTGTTTGCAATGTGTAAATTAATCACAATTTTTTATTTTCAAAACATTTCAAATTTTTCATAAAATTTAGCATGGGTCGATCTGGAGGCATGCTGCTTTAAACATTAAAGTCAAACAGAAAGATCAAATATGAAATTCATTTCAACCAATCCAAATACCTTAGCTTTAAAAAAGAAGAGACTGATTTTCATAATTATATCATAACCTCGATATTTTATCAATTAAGATGTCGTAAAACTTGGTTGCATGAAAGTACATTAGATCGGGTGGGCTGTTAATTTGTTGACTTTAAAAAGTTATCCCTTACTTCACTTCAATGTTGTAATGTTTTTCTGGTCCTTCGGGATCATTGATTCCAGCACTTCTCGGTATTGAAAACTGTAGCGAAAATTGCGTACCGCTCAAGCCGGTGCTAGGGGTCTTAAGGGATGTTGCAATTTTTCATTATCACTCAATCAAACCGAGTCTGCAATTTTCATGTAATTTTGTTGTGATTAATGCTTCCGAGGGATCACACTTTTTCCAGATTTTTATATTCCACTATTATAATACGTCTATTTATCTTAAACATGTACACAAAACATATGAATAGACATTTAAGACAAAATAAGATTTATACTTGTTATGGCGTTAATAACCTTTTGAACCCTATATATGTCACAGTTGAATTGGAGCGCTGAAAAACTGTGGTTCGTTCCTTATATAACAGTGGTGAAAATAAAAGGTCTATTTTTTCAGTAGTTCACGTTATTTGTATAACCCTTCTCATAATATAATATGTAATCGTATTCTTTTTCAACCTTTTACACCTGACACTCAATACTCACTCATATATATTATTTTTGTCCACCTTTTGTTATTTATTAATTTTATACAGTAATTCTATACCCGGTTTCCTGTAGATACATATATAGTAGGCCGTGCAATTCTGATTTAGGGTTTAAAATGATCATAAAATGAACAATTTATATATATATATAAACTTTAATAAAACAAATTTCCCTTTTATTGCAATTATTTTACAGTTTTTATAGTATTAAATCATTCATGTGTTGATAAAAGATAAGAAATTCTTAAGATATGAAGAAGTCCGTTTGATTCTTAAAATTACTTGTACGGTATATGCATGTAATCAAATTAATAACACTAATTTTCAATGAAAACTTGATATAATAATTAAAAATGAATACTGTATCATAGAACTATTCTGTTTAGATCACCAAAAAATATTTGATATGTTTGTGCAATTTAAATGCACTTTAATTGACTTAGATTAGCCAAAATAGTCCAGCTATCACAGAAATGTACTCAAACCTGGAAGTTCGTACTTAGAAGTACAGTTATATGTGTGTACGTGCGTGGGTGGGTGCGCGCGTGTGTTTTTTGTTGCCTTTTTGTGTGTTTAATTTGGAAAATTGTTAGTTTTTTTCCGAGTTCAATAAAAAAATATAAGGTTTGACTGCAGGTTTTTTTTAAACTATGACATCTTATTATAATTGTGGTATAGTCATTTAAACCTGGGAATCCGCCATCTTAACATTTTAATCTGATCTATAGTCTACACCTATTCAATAAATAAATCAATTAGACCTTTTATTTGTCAAATATACAATTCTATACTGATACATATCTAATAACCAGCTAAATGTTTTGTCTAATTGTTTTAAAATATATCATCAGATCATGCACGTAAGAATTTCTATATCATATGACGCTCTAACAGTGATCGGTAATGATCGGTAATTATCGTTAATATTCCTACATCATATACCTGCTGATTTGTTTATACGTCTTTTCATTTGTTTACCCGATGTTTTAATTATCTTCTTTTTTTTTGAAACGTTCTTTGATTTGTTTATCCGTTTTTTTATGTTTTTTTTATTTGTTGGATCGTGAGCCCGAGCCCTATGGGTATCATGACTATTTCTCCTAATATGACACCAGTACTGGTTTGTTCCGGGAAGTGAACTTGATAGGTATGAAATAAGCTTAAACCTTTTTTCACAATCAAGCCTAAGGAAATGTTGCTGTGTCAGATATTTGTTATTAAAAACTGAATAAATTATGCTCATAAAAACCGACATTGTTAAAAGAATTGTAATTATAACAAATAACAGTCCTTTGGTGCACATTCAAACTGTTAATAGATCATTTATATTTGATAAAGTAAAGGCTTTATTAAGTTAGTCATAAAAGGTCATTCAGTTCAATTTCAACATGAATTTTTTAATTAAACACTATATTACGTTTGAATGTTGAGTTTGGCTTAAACCGGTGACTGGGGGTGAGAAGAACCTTGCTTTTTGACAACTACAGCCGATGAACAGTCTTAATTAAACCAATTCTACAACGCCATGAGCGTTCTTTAAGGTGTCTGTTTATATATTCTCTAAAATCAATTTCCTTTATACATAACAAATGGCACTGGTCACTGGTATAGATTTTTATGACATTTATATACATTTGTAGTTGACTTTATAGACGCCGGACGTGAAACATTAGATTACATTACATTGACCTTAGAGTGTCAAACGTTTACCATAACTTTACGAACTTATTTTACATTGAATTATAAGACATTTTGGTTTACATTTACAAACATTTTTACTTTTCTTTTTTTTCTTTTCGAGATTTATTTTCTTATAATTAAATATGGAGGCATCTGTAATATCTTCGCGTGAAACAATCTTTGACCGAGAAATTAAGGATATTAAATCGTTCAACTTTTGGCGGGCAGTTATAGCAGAATACATCGGGACGCTGATTCTTTTTCAGTGGTCTATCGGATCGTCGTTACATGACCCCGAGGACCAGTCACCCCCGGACCCACTTATAGGTGCTATCTGCACTGGATTTGTTGTAGCTGTCGTGATAAACTCACTTCTGAATGTTAGTGGCGGGCACGTGAACCCTGCAGTTTCTATAGGATTTCTAGTGTTGGGAAAGATCACCTTTATTCGTTTTATATTTTACGTCTGTGCTCAATGTCTCGCCGGTCTCTCGGCTGTTGCTATTTTGAGTAAACTTACTCCCGAAGGAATGATAGGACTGCCGGCACTTATAAGCCCAGCACCTGGTGTTACAAATGTACAGGCGTTTTTCATTGAATTCAGCATCGACTTTTTTCTTTTGTTTTCAATAGCGGCTCTTATAGATGACAAGCGTCCCGACGATACGTCACCGACGCCATTTTACGTCGGGCTGATTGTGGTTGGAAATATTTTATTTGCTGTAAGTATTATCTTTTTTCTTTGAACTTTTAAAATTTGACCTGATGAATTTTAAAAATTTACTTGTCCAGCTTCCATTTTTGCAAATGTGTATTATCAATTTTAAGGACATCAAATCGGAAATGTGAAGTGAGCGAACAGAACAGCCTGGTCAGACTTCAGTATGTAAATGTACGCTGGCCTGGCTCTATACTGGTGGCAAAGGCTTATTTCTTCCGGTTCCAGCAGATTAAAGATAACTTTTGTCTCTCGTATTCAAGTCAATATTATATGTTTGATAGGACTTTTAGTTTATGATTTGTGTACATGTAACGTTTGGCATACAATTAAATGGACAACAGGGGTATTTCAAATATTGATAAAAAGACACCATTAGAAATGCATCATTTGAATATTCCTATAAAATGAGTCTTAAAAAATCATAAAGTAATTTGGTATGAATATTCATATTATGAATAACTAGAACACTGGATCATGTTACCCAAGCTTACTTTCAACATGAAAATACATTGTATAATTCTTTTGTGGTTTGTTGTCACGTATGATACTAAATAAGACCGTCTCCGTGGTCGAGGGGTTAGAGTCGATGACTTCTAATCCCGTTACCTCTCTGGCGTGGGTTCGATCCCCGGAAGATGCTTTAGTAGTTTAGCACGGAGGAAGGTAGTCTAGTACTGGTGTAACTCTCCAGGAACAATGGTTAGGAAACTACCCGCCTAAATGACTGAAATGCTGTTGGGAAAAGGCGTAAAATGAAACAATCAAACAAAAAATACTAAATACAACAATTATGTATGGTATCGCAGATCTTCCATTATTTACCAATTTACTTTAATGAAACAACATTCAAATTGCTAAATTAACGAATAAACCTTTATATCGTTTAATATACATGTATATAAGGGTGTCTTAATGTGTAAATTACTAAAAGGTGAATCAATATCTAGGCATAAATGTAACTATATGTAAAAACGAAAATGAGTTTCAATAACTTGTGAAATGAAAAAGTAAAACATCAACACCTAGGAGAAAACAAAAAACATTTAACCATATTACATATTATCTCCGACACAAAACAAACATTATCATGTGCGTGAACATTTAAAATCATTAAACAGCAAAAATATATATCCTGTTTACTTTCTTTAAATTTGATAAAATTGCAGGGAAAATGCAATCATAAGCCTTTGATCATCGTACGCTAAAATAAAATAGGATTTTTTTTTATTTATCAAAAATTTATGGCTATCAAATGTGCACTTACACTCATAGTTCAAGCGTCTGTCTATCACGCTAGGTATCGTGGTTCGGTCCTTATTGAGAACTTGGTCCTTATTGAGAACTTGGCCTTGTTTTCTCATTTGGCACCCTGGTACAAGAAAGCTGATTCGATATTGATTCTAATTTGCTACAACATTTCTTCACAATCAAACTAAAATAAATATTTTTTAAAACAAAAGTAGGGTTTATTTCGACATTTTATATCACATGTAATTTAATAATTTAAATACGCAGAGACATCTTGCTCACAATTCTCTATCTTGTTTCCGTTGTTACCCACCGGAAAGCCTTTGTAAATAGCTACGCATGAGTACCTGATAGTTTTTGATGAAAATTTCCCAGCATGCAAATGGTCTATATATGTATACATTTAACTGTCATGCAACATACTCTTGTAAGTATTGAAAAGCTGGTTATATTATTTGCATGAAAATAAATTAGGATGAAATTTATGAACAGTTATGAAAACAGCTGATGGTATTGTCTGTATCTGTTTTGAACTATGTATGTCTAAAGAGAACATAAAATATAAATCTACATTGATTAGCCAACAGCAAAATTTCCACTCATACATCATGACTGCGCAGACTCTATGCTGGTTGCTTATGTCTCGGTGATACGTAATGTCAAATATAAGTTTTTTAATTGCTGATAAAGTAGTTTTGATCAGATTTGTAAGATACGCTATAAACTGGACCAAACTGATTAGGACCGTGTTCTTAAACGTTATGAAAGCTTTCAATAATGTATAAATGTCATCATAATTCAGATGAAATTAAGATAATTTTAATTTATTTTCGGTCGAAGCCCTCACATTTCTACGCTTTCAAATAAAACTTTGCAACCTAAGCAAAATTTGCACACACAAAAAATCTATATGTACGATAAGTATACAAAACCAAAATGAAGGATGTGCAACTGAAAGTGACAACATTTAAAAGGTTTCCTAATTTACATACGCACAAATTCAAATTTTATTTTTATTACATTGTAGAGATAACGTAATCAAGCCTGAGGCGACTACATCATTTGCAACTGTATATTTGTTTTTGAGCAAGTTAATCGTATTCCATACACCCCATCCCGTACCATTGCACCCTCCAATCGAGCGGGAAGGCGGTGCGGAGGTATCGAAGGAAGTGAGGCGGTTTTATTTTAACTCTCTATTGTTTCCGCATAAAAGTTTACTTTTTGTTTAGCACCCAAGGAACCGACTTAGGCTGGCTGTTCTGCGATACTAGCGCATTTTCCTTGGTTGACCCCCGCATAGCAAGAATCATAGCAGAGATTTGCAGGTCTAAGAGTTAAAGTTAGTGGGTACAAATATGTCTAGTGTACTATGCTTGCTTAAATCATTTCCTCATATCTCGTCATGTAAAAAGACGACTGTTGAAATTGTATCTTCTAGCCAGGGTCTCTCTATATTCAGTATATTGGGGTTTCTATACGTTATCCGACACTCGATTATGATTCAAAATTTAGATTTAAGTTGGTTAAATGTATACAAACACTGTTATTGACACCGTATGTCAACAGTTATATTATATTAAACCTTTTAAAGTGAACCTTACACTTTGAAATACATTTAACATGCATAAGTATTCAACTTATTGTACTTTAGTTTTAATGTTCAGTTTATATAAAATGTATATGTTAGCCTTCTTTGAGAGAGTGTTATACGGTTTGTATGCAATACATTATTGTGCTTGGATAACCGCCGTATGAACACATCTGCGGATGTCTCTAAATTCAAAATTTCACCATGTTGAATTCTGCTTAAGCCGGTGCTAGGGGGCGTGGACGCTAACTTGCATTTTCCAGTACCGTCCATGAACAGGCTCAATCAAACCGAGCCTGCAACATTTTCAATTTTGTTGTGTTGGACTTTCTTTAGGGATTCTGTTTTTCTCTATTTTATTGTCACATCCGTGTTATTTGTGCCGTGTGGCGGCTGTAAAAAATCTCCCCGTACATTTAATCAATGATGTTATATTTTAGATCATTGAAGATAGTTCAGCGCGACATTATTGTTGTGTATACATGTTATGTGGTACTTTTAGTTTCTTCTTTTTTGGCCATTTTCAACTTGGGTGGTTCCAGTATTCCTACATGAATTCTGTATAATCACCCTTAGGATATGTTGCCTGATTTTTAAATTTGTGTTTTGACGTCTTATCTGTGATATGCAGGCTTCATAACCTCAGATCCCCTTTCAAAATTCCATTTTATTTAGTTCCGCCCCTTGTTTTCTCGTTTAGGACAAAAGCATTCTTTTACTTGGGGACCATACGCCGCTTTTCATGGAATGGCACTACTGTGTCACATTGAAGGTTCCATGATGACCGCCGTATGAACACATCTACGGATGTCTCTAAATTCAAAATTTCACCATTTTCGTGTTAAATGTTGAATTCTGCTTAAGCCGGTGATAGGGGGCGTGGACGCTAACTTGCATTTTCCAGTACCGTCCATGAACAGGCTCAATCAAACCGAGCCTGCAACATTTTCAATTTGGTTGTGTTGGACTTTCTTTAGGGATTCTGTTTTTCTCTATTCTATTGGGTATATTTTATAAGTAAGTTAATATTATCCCCGTACGAACAGATATTCAATAGCAGTTTATTCGGGCAAAGATTTATTGTTATGTATACTTGCGACCTTACCATGTTAAAACAGAAATGATTAATCTTTAACACTATTAAAGAGTCAGACCAACCTGCACATCCGGGCAGTCAGGCCAGGCTCTTCACTTTTTTTTTTACAAATTCAAATTGACATCTTGATATCCTCAAAATTGATAAAAATTTGTTCTAAAATTGGAAGCTAGACAAGTCAATGAAAAAAACTTTAGGTTGGTTAACGGCTAATAATTTATGTAAAACTTAAAAATAAAGACACTAGCGAGATCTTTTCACGTCCTACCATAAACATTTGCATTTCTGTATTTATCTATTTGATTTATGTAAAATGAAACTTGAATGTAATAGTCTCAACTTTTCTATAAACAACATAAGTTATTTTAAGTCTTAGTTTAAATAAAGGTATATATTCACCTAATGTATATTTGAAAATGTGCTAGCGTAGCTACTATTGATTAATAAGATATATTATAAGAAATGTTGGCTGACCTAAAGTTAACCTTATTATAAAAGCATGGATATCATTTTAAAGCGACAAAAGGAAACTGAAATCATGGCAAGGTTAAACATATCACGGAATGTAACGTGTTGGCATGGACGAAAGCTACATGCTTTCCATTGACAAAACATGACAATTGTCGCAATTAAAGGCATTCTTCTGAAAATGTTAATATCATTGTTACCTTTGTTCAGTCTTCAATCAAAATAAGTAGACAATCTTTGTAGTGAAGAAAACGAGCATAAAAGATCAAAGTTTCCCCGCTGTTAATCAGCTGAAACACATTTAGTTTAGCTCAATTGTGAAAAAAACGGAAGTAGATTTAAGCTGATTTCGAACTGATTTCTGATTTCCATTTCTTGGCCATACCAGTAATGACGTATGACGAAATATAATGGTCACTCAAGTACGAGGGGTGTTCAAATATGGATGCAACTGGGTCAATTTTCAGAAGTGCTTAATAAACAGTGCCAAATAATGATCTCGATCATTCAAAATACTCACCATAATAGAAAACGTTTAATCCATAATTAGGAACCCACTTCTCTTCGCCAGTGATGATATTTGCGAAAGATCGATTGTTGTACTAAGGAAACAGTTTCAACAATTGTTTGGAGATTATTACCCGAGAAATTTTTTGTTCTTTTGTAAGGAGATGGGGTATCCATCTGGCACATATCCTTTTCATTTTTAAATCACGTTTGAGAATTGTATGAGCGGCTCCTACAGAGATACCAACGCATTTAGCTATATACCTAGTAAATATGGCTTCAGTAGCAATCAAATCCTTTACTTTTCAACCATTTTTGGCAAAGTTGCAGTTTTCGGACGGCGGCATGAGTTTCATCTTTTACTGAATTCACACCAATTTTTAATTTCTTACACCACCGGGTGACAGATGAAAAAGAAGGTCCATTGTTCCTATAAACACGACATATTTCATAACATATGTCTTTTGCCTGTATACCAAGAATTCAGCGGTTTTTGATATAGGACCGTATGTGGTCAGTGAAAGGAGATCTTTTCCCAAGTATACATGAGTAGATAGAGTTAATCGAGCTATTGTCAAAGCTGGACTGAACTGATTTACATATGTATTGCTTACACAACCATCTATGCGATACATGTATAAAGTTCGTTCAAAACGTGGGTAAAAGCGAGTTAAATCAGAGGTAAAGCGAGTCAGATTACATTTGACGGGCCAAGTGGGAGACTATATGATGGACAGTTCTTAAAGCCCTTTGGGACTGAATTGCCTTCGTCGGGCCCTTGTAGGTGATTTTCTTGTTGCTCTGTCTTCCTTTAAGACATCGAGTACTTTTGTTATGGTCATTGGGTTTACTTTTATATGTTTCTACATGATCATTTTGGTGTTTTACTTATTTAACCTTTTGTAACCATAACAACTGTTAGAATTTCACTTGGCGGGGATTCATTTTATTTACACTGTCTCGTTTATAGGAACATGGTGGGGCTAAGAGCGAAGTTTGGTGCACCATTAACCGGTTTAAACTCCCCAGTAGTCATTATTATGCTGCTGACCGTTCCAAGGCGGCGCCCCTCTGTGTTCCTCAGATGTATGTCTATGTTGTTTTATACTGTTTTGGTGACACTTTTGCTCGTGTCTCTTGTTGTTTCTCGTCTACGGTAAGTATCTTCCCTTTGTCCCTAGTTTTTATTTATTTTATTCCCCCCCCCCTTCCCCATGTTTCATGTCCCCTTCCCTTGTGCCTTTTGACATTATGGGCCTTATATTAAATCATTTATTTGTTTTGTTTTATTTCCTTATAAGTTACTAATTATGTATTCTGATGTAGTGGTTTGCCTGCCTTGTGCCCTGTCCTGTTTTTCTTTGGGGTCCTCCTGGGCTCCTTGCCGCTGGCGCTTGTTGCTGGGTCGGGTGGGGGCTGCGTTCATTGAATGCCGCCTTTCCTTGTCGATCTTGTTTATCATATTAAAAGCCTAGTTGCATTCATATTTGAACACCCCTCGTAATGCTCAAACTTATGATCCATGACTTAAGGGCAAACAAACAAACGTGTTACTCGCATGCTACGATTGCAATTTTTACTAAATATATTAGTTTTCTATCCTATCTTATTAATCAAATGTTACGGTTTATTTCACTAATATATTTTACTAAAATTAAACCACTTATATCTAAGTAACAGCAAAAGTTTACGTTATTTTGAATAAAAACACCATGAACTGACACTTTAATTGATGCTTTAAAACCAATGTTAATCCGGTTTGTACATGTGCCTAGGCTTGAGAAATTAACATATACCTCGTGATATATAAAGCTTTACAAGTCAAAACTTGTATTGGGCAATCAACAAAATTGAGCCGCGTCACGACAAAACCAACATAATGTGTTTGCGACCAGCATGGATCCTTATCAGATTGGTCTGAATCCATGCTGGTCGCAAACCAATGTGTTGGTTTTGTCGTGACGTGGCTCATTAATGATGCACAGAACTGAATTCATGTGTAAATTAAAACATTATTTAACTTTGTCATTATATATATAATTTATATGACATATATCTAGTGTGGTTGGGTTCTGTGAACATCGCCTTGCCTTTCTGATTTCTATTCTCATTGTTTGTACAAATAACTTATATAAGGCTTGCGTTTTAAGTACTGTCTTTGGCAACAGTTGAACTCAGATTTGTATCATACTCTGGTTGAAGCTTTTCAAATTGTTTTGTTTAATATAAAGATACAAAATGAAAAAAAATATATGTATGTACATATAATTTTAGGCAAGAACTTCCGGTGGTTGTATGAATCCAGCAAGAAACTTTGGACCTGCAATCCTGACCGGAAATTTAGAAACGCAATGGGTAATATGTATTTTCTGATTTTATGGATAAACGATTAATTTGTAAATATTTTATATGTCCTGTTTAAGGAAAAAAATAATGAATTTTTTTTTTACAAAATAAAGCAGTATTTAAAGTGACATAATGCCCATCAAATGGTATGTAGTGAGTGAACATGGGAAATCAAAATAAGTTAATGTTTTGTCATAATTCATTTCAATGTCACAATTAATTTAGCATGAAAGATAAAAAAAACTCACGTGACCTAACGGAATTTCTGTAAATATCGATCAGAATTTACCTGTAAAGTTCAATTCATAAAAAGAATGGGACAGTCTCTTTGTCTCTTTCTATTTTAGGCAGATATATATTTTATCCTTAAGATTTTCCAATATCAATTGTTGGTCAATCACCATTATAACTGTCAATCTTTTGAAATATACTGACAATTCAGCTCAACTTGATAATGAAAAAAATGAGCATAATGTCACTTTAAACATAACATTACCTACTTGGATGACACATCTCAGTGATGTTATGTTTTTTTCCTGTCCTCCGGGACCACGTTTATTTTGAGAGTTGCCGGTTGAACACCGTGTCAGCCGGTGCTATAGTGCGTGATGAAAGACGTTGCACATTCTAATATTTTTAATGATCGCACTTTACTTTAAATATTTGTAGTTATTTTAATTCTTTGAAATAATTACTCTTTAATATGATATCTTTTGTAATCTTGATGAGTACAACAAAATACAAAATAAAACTAATTAACACAACATGACATTAACTGCTTATAATAACAGCTCCTTCCATAGGCCAAAATAAAAAGCATTCCATAAGAGACGACGCCGCTCACCGGCGTCGCCAACAAACTATTGTTATAGCTTGAAAATAAGGAAACAAAGTTGATGTTTAAAATCTAAGGGTCGATTAAACGTTTCACAAGGATATATGGTTGCCGCTTAAACGGTTATCATTTGTGCACACTTTGACATCCCTACTTGAATATATCTAGTACAAGTACAGATGTTGCAGTGCAATGTAGCAGTTAAGAAGCAGTTAAGAAGCTCCGCGCAAAAATGCGCTCATGACGGATAACCTGTCAAATAATTCCTGCTCAAAGGTCATTTACTATTTAGGTTATAAATAGACCTTTTTCTGAATGTTCATTTAAAGTTACATCATTAAACTTTTCTCGTCAGCACTGTCCATTAGGGAGGGGACAGGTATTGAATATAAAAAATATGTTTACACCAATTCCTACCTGGTAAGAAAAGTAATTCCAATACAAACAAAATTGTAAAACAAGAATTAGAAGACGTGTACTGTGACATGACAATTAGTAGCAACATTGTTTTGTTTCCGTCACTATGTATGAAATATGAAATGCTATAACCATTCCGTTTTCAGATTTGTTCTGTTCAGCGATTTATCACCTACAGTTTAAGTCTCTGTACTTAAAAATCTTATGATCTTACATGATAGATATATGTTGTTCAAATGAAGAATTATCAATAATGCATTTTTGTTCGTTCATTAATAAGCTTAACATATTGTGCATTGTAAGCCGGTATCAGTCTAAATATTAAGAACGAAATAAAGTTGATTTATTCACACTTGACTATCAAGTAAATGTTAAGAAATTTTCTTTTATATAAAAACTTAATATCGATTAGAAAGATGTTGTTAGTATACTAATACCTTGAAAATGTTAATGTGTACGTGTATTTTTTTGTTACTAAACATATTTGTATGCAGTACAAAACTGCTAAAAAATTATTTAGCATTAAAGATAGTGCACGTTGTTTCAGTATATGAACTTTTATTATATATGCTTTATATTTTTATAAATCACTCCGACTCACTATGTTTTCATCCTATTAAAAAACATACTTTTTTAACCCATTGCTTCATGAGCATTTTGTGAAAAATGGCTGTTTTCATTGAAAAGTCTCCCGTTACAAGTTCCAAATTGCTATAATACTATAAAAACTGCTTTCAACACTAATCAAACTTGGCACAAATGTTGACTGGGACCATTTGCCCTTGGCAAAACAACATGGCTCAGGCTTAAATTTTCTGTTACCATGGCAACGAGGGGACATCTCAAAATTTTGCCAAAAATCACTATTTTGCGTTGATTTTTTTCCATCAAAAAATTGATTTCAAAGTGCTGCAACTTCTTCAATGGATCGAGATAGAGTCAAATGCTTTTCAGCGTTGGTTACACGTTACATTATGATCAATCTGGGTCATTTACAGCCTCTCACAAGTCCAAAAATTTTCTTGGCGATGAGGGGACTCCGCCCCCTTCAAACCCCCCAAACAGAAGGGGCACATCCCCCTTCTGGCAACCCCTGATGTATCTTTTGGTTGGGGGGCCGCGCCGAAAAAGAGGTCACTTTTTTTAACAAAACAACATTTCTCCTAACAAAAAACAAAGTGTTTGGGGGCCTAAATAAAGGCATTTTTTTCATCATTTGAGACAACAAAAAGGGGGGGGGACGAAAAAGGCGTTAAAAGGCGTATATATGAAGTAATGGGTTAATAGCGGCTCGGGTTATATTTACAAACAGCCGTTAATATAGAGTCATATAACCTGTCAACAATCTTTATAACGAATGATATTCGGCTGCTGTCAATTTTCTAAGATATCTCACTTTTTTTCTCAAAAAAAAGGAAGATTGCGGTATTATAAATTCGTTATAAATATTTCTGACAGGTTCATGAACGTATATAAACGGTTTTATGCAATATAACCCTCGCCTAGCGGCTTAAAAAACCATTTGTTTAGGGTCATATAGCCTGTCAAAAATCTTTATAACTAATAATAGAAATCTGGAGGATATTTTCGTAAAATGTAAACACTTATAGCTTCGCGCCAATTCCTTTTTCATAAAAAGAACGAGTCTAATTTTTTATACTGTATTTTGCTGACATCTTCTTTTTGTAGACTTGTCTTAAAACAACAGACTGCTGTTACTGTAAAGGGTATAGCAGATTGAAAAGATTAAAAAATTTAAATGAAAATTACCAGTGCTTTCATTTCTTAAATTAATAGGTTTACTGGGCTTCGGACCCTTCTTGGCGCAGCTTTTCAGGGGCATGTTCTGTTACGACAAATTTCCTGTTCAGCCGCCTTGCTATTGTCCGGTTCCGGTAAATTTCTCAAAATTCTTGCTGTAAAAAAATCAGACGAAAAAAAAGACAACCAGGACCTGGCCAGAATCATCAAATAACGAGAAGGAACGGCATGCATGCTTACAACGGGCAAGCTTAGTTTTTTTTGAAATTGTTTACCTCTAAAGACATCTACTTTATATAAAATAAAATACCTGACAAACTGAAGTAAATACTAAACACAAAACTCGTATATGGTATTGGTTTCAATCTTATGTTATGGGCTTGTTTTTTTTGAAACTTTAATTTAGTTATTTCTTAAATTAAAACGTTCAAATTGAACAAAGATGAAATAATTCCAGAGTTACCGGCCTTGCTCGCTGTTTCTTGCATGGGTTTGTCATTATCGTGACGATTGTATGAATTTTTTGTATCATTTATGTTTTCAGTTATTCGATGAACTATTTGTAGTATTTTAATTTTCAATTATTCGATTTATGAATTATTTTTTCAGTATTTGTATTTTCAATTATTCGATTTACCGATTATTTGTAGTATTTGTATTTTTAATTATTCGATTTATGAATTATTTTTTCAGTATTTGTATTTTCAATTATTCGATTTATCGATTATTAGTAGTATTTGTATTTTCAATTATTCAATTTAATTGTTATTTGTAGTATTTGTACATTCTATTATTCGATTTATGAAGTATTTGTTATATTTGTAATATTTGTATTATTAATTATTATTATTATTTGATTTATGAACGATGCCTAGCATTTGTATTTTGAATTATTTGATTTCCCTGCAAAATGTATCCCATTGCATGTTTCTATGACTTGCCACATTATTTTATAAGAAAACGGTCAGACGTTTTTATCCAATGGATACTAAGCATTTTGATTGATGTTTCAATCGTACCTACACAATGTATCATTGTTAATGTTTTTGTTATTGTTGTTTCTATTAAATTCCATTCATCATGTTCGTTGACATCCGGAGAAATACGTCATGTTTCGAATATTTCAATATTATTCTAAAAGTAATCCGATGACAATTTGTTTTGAAACACGTCGATTATTAGAACTTTTTTTTAAACATAGAAAGGGATTGCACGCTCACGTAGTTATTTCCCCTTCTCTCTGATCAGGGAAAGATGTATCTTCAATATTTTATTATCATTATTTACGTAATTGTAATTGTTATTATCTATATTATAAAATTCAATAAAAGTTTATGTTTTATTATTATTCATAACCCCAACTTGATTAGGGTTCAATGATATCCGAATTGTGTTCGAACAACCAAACTAGACGTGTATCATTTGTTTTCACCGATCCTATAGAGAAAGAAGAAAATAGAACCGGGTGACTTTGTAACCAGCAAGAATTAGGTGATGAATTCCATTATATTTCATATGTATTCATTTTACTCATGAAAGTATGGTGGCATAGAGGTGACATTTGCAGTTTAATTTTATCTCGTGGCCACGACTTATTATCTTGAGGCCTCAAGATATTATCTCGTGGTCACGACTTATTATCTTGTGGCCACGACTTATTATCTTGTGGCCTCAAGATACTATCTCGTGGCCACGAGTTATTATCTTGTGGCCACGACTTATTATATTGTGGCCACGACTTACTATCACGTGGCCTCAAGAAATTATCTCGTGGCCACGAGTTATTATCTTGTGGCCACGACTTATTTCAGCCAATGAAAATGTTCGTTTCATCTCGAACAAAAGTTAATATCACACTGACATTAACTTTCACAGGAGGGGCGGGTCAAACGCACCACCGTAGATTCACTTCAGTAGTTTCCTACGCATTTACCCAGAGACGTGCTGAATTTCAGTAAGGGCTTATCAGTTAGTATCGCTATTAACTGTATATATCCCAGTTACACATCGACTGAGTAGTGTCTTGTCATCACTTATATTATTATGTTCTCTGTATTCTT